TATTAATCTTATAATAAATAAAGTATAAGGTCGAATTTTAAACTTGTAAAATTGTAGGGTTTAAAATTTAAATAGTTCAAATTAAACTTTTAATCAAAAATTTATGATTTCAAAACTTGAGGGCAAGTTTTGAACTTTTCAAAACACATAGGATCAAATAGCAAATAATATAAATTAAACATTTAATTAAATGATTATCTAATTTTGATCTATTATAGTTTAATCACAAGATAATTCATCAAATAAATCAAATAATCAAATTTCATCACATAAGGAATTTATTAGTCAATTAAATGGTAATTATCTTTTGTTTTGGTAAGGATAATCATATAATAACAATAAAATCGGATTTTATTAGTCAAAAACAGTTTTGGAAATTATCCTTTAGCAAAACAGCAAGAAATCCCGAGATATCCTCTCCTGACAGCTAAACTCGTCGAGTTCCCAATGTGAACTCGTCGAGTTCTCATTGGAACTCGTCGAGTTCTTCAGTCAGAGGGCCAAAAACGATTTTTTTAAGCATGAATGAAAACACAAAGCATTAATACAATAGAAACCAATCAAGGCTCTGATACCACTGATGGTTTTAGCCAAAAGAACATCCTATGTGCTCATGCAAACCCTAAAGCTTGGATCTAGGTTTCTCTATTGTATATGCAATTCATCAAAGACTTACAAACCCTAGATCTAGCATACATATTTCGAAATTAACATAAGAAAATAGATCTAGATGATTACCTCTTGTACAATGGCTTGAATCTTCTTGTCTTGGAGCTTAGAGTCACAAATGTCACTCCTCTAATGGCTTACAAACACCACAAGCAAGAGGATGCTAATTGAGAGAGAGAGGGAATGGGCACAATTTCAGCTATGAACACTCTTAGGGTTCAAGTGGCCAAAAATGGATGCCTTGGGGTCTTATTTATACTGGTACTGTTAGGGTTTCAGTCAAAACCCTAATGGATAGCTTAGGCCTTAAGCAGTCCAAGGATGCTTATGGAATAAGGCCTCTATGGCCGAACTTAGGATGGACTCATCCCTAATTTTGTCCAAGCCCAGTCCATAAGCCTTCTCAGCCCAATACTCAACTATCACACATTTGACAGTTTAAGTCTCATTTATTTAATTAATGTCTTTTGGCCACAAAATTAATTCTTAATTAATTCTTTTCTAATATTAATTAAACTATATGATTTCTCCTTTAATATATTATTCATATAATATATTAAAAAACCATAATAACCTCTCACTTGATAAGTCATCCTATCATGTTGCTTTGGTGAAGGCAACCCAAAAGGACCATGCACAACCGGGTCAAGTACTTACCAAATATAGTTACGGACTTAGACACTAATCCAACAGTATTTTGGGGAATTCACTAAGCTTTGTGCTTACAGTTTCATATTTATGGTTTCAGTTACTTTCGGTTCGAAAGGGAAGGGCCTGGCGTGACTGCACAACATCCCCCTAGAGTTTTCCGCATTGACGATTAATGATACTACTCTGATGTTTAAATGATATATTCACTTTGATCAGTGTTAGAACAAGTCATTTGTATGATTTATTGTTTTAAAAATGAAAAAAATTTACCTTAGATTTTTGGGAAGTTACAAAATTTACACTTTAGTGGAGTTTACTACCCATTTCAAGGTCAATCACAATACCAAAACCAACCTAAATTCCAAAATCAACCACAATTTCAAAGGCAACTCTAATTTCAAAACCAACCACAAATGAATTTCTCATCCCAAATTGACAATGACTTCAATCCATTTGATGATCTTCCTGAAACCCAAACCCAATTTCCAAGTGAAGCGGAACCTGAAGTAGCCCCTAAACGGAATCGGAGCAAGAAGAGAATCGCCCACAACCCAAAAAAGTGGAAGTGTGGTACCAAAGCAATAGACACTGGCCGAAGAAAATGCGTTAGCTCGTGCTTGGGTGGATATTCCCGAAGATCTGGTGGTCGGAAACAACCAAGATTGTCCAACTTTCTTCTGTAAAATCAAGCGACATTTTTTTCAACGAGATGAATCTTGGCGATTACCGAAAAAAAGACCAAAATTATTTGAAGTGGCATAATGTCAACAAAGTGGTGACGGTGTTTAACGATATGTTTTCGAGTGTGAAACGACAATGACAAAGTGGTGCGAACGACGAAACCATTTTGCAAAAAGCTCTTGACATGTACCGACATAAAAAAGGGGCACCATTCAAATTTCTACATGTTTGGAACATTGTAAAATTGTCAAAAAAAAATGGCAAGCTGTCGACTGTTCCGAAACTTTTAGGGGTGGTTCTTGTAAAAGAACCAAAACATCCGAAATGATATATAGTCAATCCTCCGATGCGCATGTAAGGATTGACCTCAATGAAGAGGAGCCTACTGAGGTTCCAAGAGCCACTCGTCCCATGGGAAGAGACCGAGCCAAGGGAAAGGGAAAAGCTACAACAACTTTTTCCAGCAACATCGATCAACTAACAACAAAAATGGACAATTTGAAGTCGTCCTTGGAGCGATACGTGGAACTTGCACAAGAGAAAGAAAATACTCGTGTCATGTCCATCTTAACGAGGCCCACAAACGAGCTATCCGGACACGAGCGAAAAATGATGATAAAAGCCAAAGAAGAGTTTGCAAAAAAAAAATAGAACATCTAGTTTTCGCTTTTTTAATTTTCATGGTTTTGTTTTCTTATATTACTAGATTTGTAGTTTGAATTTCTATGTTTTTTTTTTCTTGTTGAGTTGTATTTTTATTTTATGTTTAATGAAATTTATGTTTTTTAAAAAAATAATATGTCTGAAATATTTATTTTCTATATTAATTTAAAAAAAAAGTAGTTGGCAAGTGTGGCAAACCGTATGATGCAAATGACAAGTTTTGGCTAAAATATGACATAATTGACGTGACACTTATGTGGATGGTGGCTATTAGTGTGAAACTACACCTGTACCTTTTAAGTTGGCTTATATATTGAAGATTTAAACTTGATTACTTGCTTATGCAATTAACCCTATTTTAATTAAATATCTCACCATGTTCCATTAACGTAACAAGTACATACGATAATCAATGTTAGACATCTTTTAAAGGATGAGTAGATGATTCTTGCTTCTTTTATTCGCTTTTGATTTCCTACACCATTGACTTTCTTTCTTCTCCTACATATGTATAAATCTGCCAGATGCCTTTTCGAAATTACAGTGCAGAGTACACAAACGTTCAAAAATGCTTTTGCTTACACAACTAGTCGCTATCGCTGCTTTAGCCTTCATCTCTCTTCAGCATGAAGCCATAGCACAATTTGTGCCACCTTATTCTTCTGTAGTTGTTCCTGTATATAAACACACAGATGCTGCTAAGCCTCTCTATAGTGTTCAGATCATGACAACATACGTAAACATGCAATTCTTGCATGCAAACTTCCTTATAGACCTCGATGCTCCTTTCATATGGCACGACTGTATCTTGCTATGGAACACGTTTGCAGGTGGTTGTCCTAACAACACACTCTGTACCTATCCAGTCTCATGCGAAGAATATCAATGCACAGATGTGCGAACCACTTACTCATACAAGAATCCCTCCTGTCCTCCAGTAAACAATGGCTCAACGTTACCTGGATGGGGTTACTGCACATGCCCAGTCAACGTGGTCAATCCTATTACTGGATCATGTGACAACGCCTTGCTGGATTATGACGAATTCACGGTGAACACCAGCAATGGTAGAAATGTATTCAATGGTTTATATGGTGCTTACCCTAATGCTGCATGTGCTCCTTCTTCTTCGTTTCAATCATTCCCTGTTAATGTTAGTGGTGTCATGGCGCTTTCCTCCTCCCCTTATGCATTTCCAGCATATTTAAATGAACCGCTTCAAAAAGTAATGGCTTTGTGTTTACCCAGCACGTTATCATCTCCTGGTGTTTTCTTTTATGGAAATAGTTCTTATTACCTTCTTCCCCAATCGAATGTTGACATAAGGAGTTTTCTTTCTTATACTCCTTTAATTAACCATCCCGATTCTTTTGGGTACTTCATTGGTCTCAATTCCATCGTAATTAAAACAAGATCCATTGATATTCCCGGGAATTCCACCACCAAGCTTAGCACAATCGATCCTTACACCACCCTTCGAACTGACATTTATAAGTGGGTGGTTCGGAGGTTTTCATTGGTTACAAAAAGAATCCCTCCTGCAAATCCTGTGGCACCATTTGGTCTTTGTTTCAACGCCTCCGTTAATGGTCTAAGAGTTCCAGATATTGAGTTTAATCTTCAGGATGGGAAGAAGTGGAGTATATCCACTGCTAACTCCATTAAGCAAGTGACGACAGACGTTGCGTGTCTGGGGTTTGTTGATGGTGGTGCAACAAGTGAACCTGCAATTGTGATCGGGACGTTTCAGTTTGAAGATAATTTTCTGGTATTTGATTTAGAGAATTCAAGTTTCGGGTTCAGTTCTTCGTTGTTACGTAAGAAGACTTCTTGTGCTAACTTCAACTTTACGCTCACTAATTAAGCAGTGGGAATAGGCATGTTATATATTGCCTGATAAAAAAATTATTGTTCATTGTCTTCCATGTATAGTTGAAATTGATCAACTTTATTTCAATGTATGTGCGTTCAATAAACAGATAATCTTGAAAATTTGCCCTTTTGCGTTAAACTTTTTTTTTTTTTTTTTGATTTGACATACTGAACAAAGGAAGACGAACTGTATTTGAAATTGTATATGCTGATTGAGTGATTTCTCCATGGAATTTTGTAAATTTAGCGAAGGCAAATCCGTTGCTAATTTGTTTTACAAAGAAAGAAAAGGGAACACTTTGTGATAGATTAGTGCGAAAATTCCATTACTAATCGGGGATAGAATAATTATATTTAGCAATGACTATTCTTGTTAAAAAAAATTGTTTTAGGCAACCTTTCTAAACAGTTGCACTAGGAGGGTTGATGAGTTATCAGCTTTTCTGTTCTAAATAATGTTTTAAAAACCGGACCGGAGACCGAAACGGTCGAGCTACCGGTTCGATGGTTCAACTGGTCAGACCGGTCTCAAAAACCGCATAAAACCGGATGAGGTCATATATAT